ATATATATATATATATATATATATATATATATATATATATATATATAAAGTGGAATGTTACATCTTATGAGATATAAATGTGACATACATTTCACCTCCAAAGTTGAAGAAATTGTTTTGATTTTTGTGAACATTTAAAGAAATAGAAAATGTGTGTTTATTTACCAGTGTTGAGGTGATAGTGTTGTTAGGCACTTGAATAAATGCTAGCAATCACAAAAAATGAAAGTAAAAAATATCCCATCACTTTATGTATTGCTAAATACTATTTGTTCTATTTTATGTACCTCAAATAACTCATTTTACTTTGCACTTTAGATGGAATCAGCTGGATGTTGCCATCGTTGCATTGTCCATAATGGGCATCACTCTGGAGGAGCTGAAAATGAAAGCAGCATTGCCAATAAATCCCACCATCATCAGAATCATGAGAGTACTCAGAATAGCAAGAGGTAACCCCCACCCCCCACACACACACACAAACTAAGTAAACCTATGTCTAAATCTGACTTTAGCATCTGTTCCCTGAAATAAATTAAATTCTAACCATCACTCAAGTCTCAATTTAAATTCTGCAGAAACTCAGCTCACTAAAAATATGATGTGAGCTTTATTCTTTTTTTTTTTCCTCCACAGTGCTGAAACTTCTGAAGATGGCAAAAGGAATGAGAGCTCTGCTGGATACCGTCATGCAAGCGCTGCCGCAGGTAAACACAGACGATAAGGTCTTAAACACAAAAACACTTCCTGTCTCGTTATTCATCCAAATTAACAGAGTTTACTAAGAAACTGGAAGTTTTTACTAAACATATTCCTGTTAAAAATACACTAATCCATCCATCCATCATGATCTTTACCTGCTTCTTTCTTTTGGATCACGGGGGGGGGGGGGGGGGGGTGTCACTGGTGCCCATGTCCAGCGGTCATTGTGCGAGAGGCGGAGGACATTTTGAACAGGTCCAAGTCCATCACATGACACAGAGCCAAACAACCATTCTCTCTCTCACTCACTCCTAAGGACAATTTAGAGTTACCAATCAGCCCAACTTGTATGTTTTTGTATAATTACTGTTTGAACAAACTACTAAAAATCGAAACAGATGAAATAATGTGAATCTTATATTTTAATGAATCTTGCAGCAGAGTTCCACAGACTTGGTGTTCTGGGCTGACTATCCTGCATGTTTTAGATTCTCCCCTCCTCCAGCACAGCTGATTAAAATGATTAACTTACCTCCTCAGCATGCCATTATTTATTCAAGCTTTGAATCTTAATCATATCTTAAGCCATTTTCAAAGTGTTGTTTGTAGAATATTAATCTTAAGAAAGAAGAAACTTGTGCATGTCTTTTTTCTTTGCTTGTGTTTTTTATGGGAGGGAAAAGAGACCAAACTGCATCAGTTAACCTCACACTTTTTTCTTTACCGACTTAATGTTTGGCTACTTTTAAAATAAAGCTGCATGAAATAAGGCAAAGATGAATTATTCCATCCATCCATCCATCATCTTTACCCGCTTCTTCCATTTTGAGTCACGGGAGGTCACTGGTGCCCATGTCCAGCTATTAAGATGAATTATTGTTTAATAAAATATTGAACAGACACCTTGGGCACTTTCATCCAATCACCTGTAAGTATTAAAACCAGTTGGGTGTCTACATAATTGTCAAATTTGTGTTTGCTATTTATGATACATTAATATTTTTATGAACATAAATTTATGTTTTATGCCACCTTATTTTAAATGAAACATTTTGTCCACCACCTAAAACACAATTCCTAAACAAACATAACTGTTTTGTAATTATTACTGAATAACTAACTTATAAAATGAATGCCAGTGGTAAATTTTAGACTTTAAAACTGAGTTTAACCTTTAATCTGTACAGTAAAACTAGCCTTTTTATTGTCATATAATCAAAATACTTCTTCCTCCAACTAAAGGAGCCATTTTTACCTTAATCTGTCTTACTTTATACTGACACTCTTCTTATTACACTTCAACCGTTTACTAATAAATTCATCAGCTAAAAGAAAATCGTAACTGTGGTAAAAGCGAGATCTACATCAGGGTTGCCAGATATGAAATAACAAAATGTTGTACTGTTATTTTTAAAATCATCACATTTTCATCCCAACTATTGTTTGGGTGTAGAGTGGGTGCCCTTAGTCATGGTGGTGGTGATGGTGGTGGTGGTGGTGGTGGGGGGGGGGTCACTTTCTCTGTCAACAGACAAAAATGTGGTGTTGTGATTGGGAGGAGAGCTTAGTGCCTGGCTAGCATGCAGTTTAGTCGATTGAATCTGATATATGGGTGTTCACATAAATACAAAGTTATTTTAGTACATGGAAATGCCACAACTATCACATATTTGGGCTTTTGATTTTATTTATTTATTGTATATCATATAATAGAGCCTAAAACTATCATAAATCATAGGCCCTCATAGGCAGCACGACGGCTCAGTGGTTAGCACTGTTGCCTCACAGCAAGAATATCTAGGGTTCAATCCCTGGTTAGACCTGGTGTCTCTCTGTGTGGAGTTTACACGTTTTTGTCATGCTTGTGTGAGTTTTTTCCAGGTACTCCGGTTTCCTCCCACAAACCAAAAACATGCATGTTAGGCTGCCTTCAGGTCCAGGCCTCCCTTGGAAAAGAGATTTGTGATCTCAGTGGGATTTGCCCGGTTAAATAAAGGTTAATAAATAATAAAAAAAATAAAACAAAAATGCGTTATTTGTCATACACCTGGCAACACTGGTCATGCTCAGAATGCTCTTGCTCTCTTTTGAAATTTCATTATTGTGGATGTTACCACCACCTAATGATGTGACATAGGTATTTCAGCATTTTTCTAAATATGTACTCTTGTCTGTCATCTTGGTAGAAAGTTTTTATAAACAAAGAAAAATCATTTACATTACACAAATAGTTGTGCCTTTGAGGACTGAGATTAATCTGAGCGTAAGATTTATTTTTAACGACAAACCAAGACTGCTATAAATGAGTCAAGCGTAGCACTTTCACAGTGTATTTATTCTTAAAATGATTTTTCACTGAACAGAAAAATGTGGAATACATATATCTTTACTAAATTTATGAAGTTTAAAGTGTATTTGTCTTTGCCGTTTTCAGTTGTTTTTTGTTTTTCTTACAAACAGTTTACGTCCTATCCTGCTTTTTGGAAATAAAGCTCAACACTGAAACTTTGAAAACAACTGCTAGTTTCTTTAATCAAAGTTGTTTGTTATAATTCAATTTTTAGCAGGTCTTAGTTTATTTACCTTAGACAGCAGACACAACTTACAGGTAAAACTTGTCTAAGTTCAATTTTTCTATAACGTGAAGTTAAATACGTGTAAAATGGAATGATTACAATAAAATAATGATATCAGTTATAATCCCTCTTTCCCCCGAGCTTTAACCCAGGAGAAACAAACAAATGTTGTTGCACAGAGTATCCAGCACATGTTCTTGCTTCCAGGTGGGAAATCTCGGCCTCCTCTTCATGCTGCTCTTCTTCATCTATGCTGCTCTGGGAGTGGAGCTCTTTGGCAAACTGGGTCAGTAACACTTTTATTAGAAACACACACACACACACACTTATCTAGAGTGCTTTACTTGCATCAGCAAAAATGAATTTTTGAATATTGTTACTGCCGCAGTTACAACAATGATCTTATGTGAACAGTTTGTGTTGAATCCTCACTCTGACCTTTGTCTGTCTCCCTGTTTATCCACCATTCAATCACATCAACCACCTTTTGTAACTGAGGAAATATCACATTTGTGTGATTATGCTTATAAGCCTATTGCTTCATACTGGTCATAGATAATTTTATGCTTATATATTTAACATTGATTGAGTTACAGCTAGTTTTGTGATTTTTAGGGTCAGTTAGCTCTCGACTCCAAATGGCGTATTCTGAGTTCCTTTAAAATGTGTGGAGTGGAGTAATCTGCAACTTATTTCAATTCAATTCAATACAATTCAGTTTATTTATAGAGCGCCAAGTCACAACAGAAGTCGTCTCAGGGCACTGAACAGAAGCATTCATATATAAAAATAACAAGTTAACATTATTTATCTGAGGAGCAGACTGCTTTGAATTTAACTCCATCACAGAACTCTCATTTTGAACAAGCACGAAGGCGACAGTAGAAAGGAAAAACTCCCTCATGAGGAAAAAAACGTTAACAGAACCAGGCTCAGGACAAGCTTTGATCGGCTGGGTTTGAGAGGAACAGGAAGGAGGAACAGATACACAATGGCACGTCAAGAATCACATGTTAGAAATAGTATAAAATGAAAACTGTTCATTTTTAACAAATCGTTTAAGTAAATGAGGTCAATTTGTCCTCTAATAGTCTAAGCCTATAGCAGCATAACAAACCAACCCTAACTATAGGATTTAGCAAAAAGGAAAGTCTTCATCCCAGTCTTAAAACTGGACAATGTGTCAGCTTCATGGACAAAATCTGGAAATTGGTTCCACAAGAGAGGAGCCTGAGAACTGAAAGATCTTCCTCCCATTCTGCTTTTGGAAACTCTAGGAACTGCGAGTAAACCTGCAGTCTGAGAGTGAAGTGCTCTGTTAGGAAAATATGGAACAATAAGATCTTGAATATAAGCTGGAGCTAGGTTGTTGAGCACTTTGTAGGTTAGAAGTAAGATTTTGAATTAAATTCTGGATTTGACAGGGAACCAGTGGAGAGAAGATGAAACTGGAGATATGTGATCCCTCCCAGTAACTCCAGTTAAGACTCTGGCAGCAGCATTTTGGATTAAATGAAAACTTTTTAAAGAAGTATTTGGACACCCAGATAATAAACCGTTGCAATAGTCCAGTCTAGACGTGACAAATGCATGAACCAGGTTTTCTGCATCATTTTTAGATAAGATGTTTATCTATTTAAAATACTACTAAACTAACTGACTACTACTGAATTTAGTAGTACCTTACTTTGATGTAATAAAGCATACATGTAAAGGTAATTTAGTGCATTTGTAACTATTATTTATTGCAATTTTAAACTAAAACAAAAAAAACATTTATTTAATTTGACTTCAACTAGTTATTTTTTGTTTGTTTGTAATTCTTATTATCGAACTGATTCACCTTATTTCTTCCAAGCGACTTATCCTAAAAGTATTCCAAAGAATTTCTGATGGATTTGAGAGAAAGATCCACTGTGAGGCTAAAAGTCAAATAAATGAAGAAGTTAAATCTAATAAGGCGTCGCTCCTTGCATCAGTTTAATGATTCACATTTTAGAGGAACATTGATCTTCTAATACTAGCTTGATGCATGCTCAATAATCCAGGTCCAGAAATCTAACAAAGTTAAGTCAGATCCTCTGGACGGATTCTTTTCGTGGAAGAATCCGTCCAGACAGACCTGAAGCTGCAGCAGTGGGACCAATGAGCTGCAAGTGGCCCTAGAGCCACAGGTTGCAGACCCATGATCTAGTTCATGGAAAACTTTGGTAACGGACACACATGCGCATAACAGTCCTTAAAAAAATATTAGTTACAAGCCTGAAAGTTGAAAACAGTTATTATTGTTTTGCTTTTGTCTGTTTGCCACATATTTGAGTAAAGAGAAAGATTTTAAAGCTGACATTTGGTGTAGAAATACTTTGTATCAGTTGGAGTCTAATCTCTGATCTGTCTGCAGAGGAGTGAGCAGATAAGGTGAAGTCACAAGGAATGGTCTTATATAAGAAAAAAATACTAAAATTGGAAATTTAATCATAACAGATACCCAAGCTGCTTCATATCGAGTCCAAAACTAAATTTAATTATTAATCTATTTTGATCTACACCCAGATGAATCATCATTCCCTCCAATATCCTCATGCCACTCTGCAGTGAGTCAGACAGGAACAGAGAGGAGTGTCTTTTTCTTCCTGTCAGAGGAATTACTGATGAAGACAAAAATCTCTAGGTTTATGTTAGAACGGTTTTTCCGTGTTTGCCAGAGACACACCAGAACTATTTGAGCAAAGCTGATTCCATTTTCCCATTATGTAAAGCTGCTTTATTCCTCTTAGCAGAAGTGTGGCGTTGTTAGAGCCTCTCCGTTTCTCTCCTGGTCGCTGATACGGAGAGATACAAGGTTTATTATACTCAAAGGAGTGTCTCCATTTTATTCAGCCACCAGTTCGTGTGACCCCGGGGTCTGAAGCAGCTCAGCTATGTTCCGGATTGATTTGGTTTGCTGCCTTCTGAGGACTTCTTCTTGTCAAAACTGATCGGAAGACTTTCCATGTCCATTATTTTTGCATTTCTTTTGCTCTTGTCCTGAGGGATGTAACACTTAGCAGCGTTTTTTTTTTTTTTTTTTTTTTAAGCCAATTGAAAGTTCTAAATGGGACACTAGCAGTTTCAAGCTAAGAAAGTATTGTATTTATGTTTTTAATGTTTGAAGAATCTTCATGTCAGTGTGATTGAAAGAACCATCCATAAATCTCAGTCAGTCACAGTCTAGCCTTACCCAAACAAATCAATAAAGTAGAACCAGTTTTTGAAACCAAACACTCACCTTATCCATTTGGGAGAAGAATGAAACATCTTTTCCACGAGAAAATGCCTCCATTTATTTGTCTGCCATTTAATGAAACTGTCACCCAGCGTGCCATTTTTCAACAACACTTAAACAGCAGCCACTTTCTGCCAATCAATTCTAGTCTCCGTTGCTTCTCTGGGTAGTTTTAATGTTTTTATTTTCATGTCCTGATGGGTAAATAATGTCTGCATACATGTGTCTGTTGATCAGAGTGCAACGAGAACAATCCGTGTGAAGGTCTGAGTCGTCACGCAACGTTTGAGAACTTTGGGATGGCCTTCCTTACGCTGTTTCGGGTATCCACTGGAGACAACTGGAATGGGATTATGAAAGTATGAACACAGACACACAAGTAGAGACACTTATAAATGATGTCCAGATTATCTCAAGCCACAGAGAGAGCAATAACCTCTAAAACCAATTATGAAGGAATAAAGTAGATTAGAGCGAAGCAATGTCAACTCTATCACATATTTAAATGGCGTTTCATTGAAAATGATAGTGTATAATATAAATGTTTTTACATAATTAATATAATGTTGAGAATAACTTTGGCCAGTTTGATCATTATGTCAAAACAAATCAATAGGGATGTAAATCTTTGAATAATGCACAACTCAGTTCCAAATTTTGAAATTCTTAGATTCAAGCAAAAAAAACCTGGATTTAAAGTGATTCTTTTTACAATTGATTAAAACCAATTTTGTGCAAGAATATTCATTTAAACAATGAACACATACACATTTATTGTGTTTATTTATTGTGTTTAAGTGTTTATCATATTCTTAGTTTAGTGTATTAGTTCATATATTAGATTTTATTACTGTTTTGATTTTACAATTTTTACTTTTGTTGAATGTAACTGGGACCCTGTGTACACAATTTCGTTCCACCTTGTGCACCACATGCGATGCAAATTCATTCATGCAACCATTATTTAAACAGATAAGTCACACTGAGCCTCGAAGACTCATTTCCAAGTGAGACCTGTTTGGACAGACAATAAAAAGTGCTGAAAAACGACACGAGACAAAAAAAAAAAAAAATCCTAACATGTTCTTAATCTTTGGCTGAAGATTAACAGCATAACAATGGAAAAAAAATCTCGCACAACAAGCACAATGACACCGACATTCTACAGGGTGGGGGGCAGGGGGATGCATGGGCAGTGAGCATGTCCAGAGACAACTCACAGAGACACTGCAGAGTTCAGATAAAATTGCTCAGTTCAAATAGTTCCCTCTAGAGAGATCCGTGCACACTCTGTGTCAGAGTGTGCATGAGTGTAATTCAGAGAGCTCAACAGGACAAAAACTGTCCAAACATAAATCAG